AAAAAAAGTTAATTTTGGGGTAAGTTACTGTTTAAAGTCTACAGAAACAACTACAGCTCTGTTTGACACATACTGTATTAAGCTTCAGTCAGGCAGTATCTGAGAGTCATCTTCAACTCTCTGAGTGACGTCTCATAATATTACATGTTTTATAGTTTGAACACAACACATACAACTATAACTTCTCAATGTAAGATGAATAAACTCTTCCATGAATAAAGTCTTGATTAAGAGTTCTTTGAACTTTATGAAAATCATTTAAGACAATTAAGTTTTTTTTACTTTGTTTATAAACCCCATGCACCTGAATGTAACAGTGTATTTTGTATTGTTTGAAAAATAAAATAAATTAAGGAACATGGACATTTCAGACCTGAAAACACAATCTGTAGAAGACAAACTATCTGAAATTAATTTATTCAAAAAAAAAAAAAGAAAACAACTGCAGTAAACACCTGCCTCATTCTTCAGCTGGAGTTTTCTGATAACACTTTAGGAGTAGTTGGAGCTAAAATCCTAATTTCTGTGAATCAAACTGTTTAATCTTTGATGTTTTTCAGTGAAAAAAATGGGATCAAATCCTGTCTTTCTGCCAGGCTGCTGAAAGAAGAGTACAGATCAACAGTAGTTTATTTATTTATTTACTTATTGAATTTAGGAGCCTTATTATGCCTGAATTAAATAAATCAAAGAGAAGTGGCCTAATGTTAACCAGTGAACTGAAAATGAGTGAAAAAAACCTGCAGTTATTTAGAATCAAACTCATTTTAGAGAAAAAAGAAAAAAAAACGTTCCTGGGGACTAAAGCATTGACTGGAGGAAATCAGTTTTTTTGTGGAGAGTCTTCAGGGAGCAAAGCATGATGGGAATTCAAAGTGCAGCTTGTTAAGAACGTCAGGAAGCTGCAGATCAAACATGGCAGCAGCACTGAGCGTCACTTCCTGCTGACAGGAAACTCCTCCTCTGACCTCGGCTCACCTTGGCATGCGTGTTGAGGAGCTCGAACAGCGCCATGACCAGCTGCTCCACGCCCACGTGTCCGTCCCGGTACTCCTCCACGTAGTAGCTCATGGTCTGACGCTCCGCCTCCGTCAGCAGGTGGCGCGCCTGCTCCTCCAGCATGGCGCGCGACTGGTTGACCAGACTGGACAGGGTCACCTGGGAGCCCGCCACGCCCTTATAGAACCCAGGCTGAAAGGACAGAAAGATGCTTCCTGTTTTTACTAACAGGTTTCAGACCGAGACACAGACTGACTGTAGAAATAAACGGTTCCTGCTATAAGGCAGCGGGAACGCTAGCTGCTGAAAGCTGCTGACACAGCAAAACTGGAAATATGAGTTACAATTAAACAGATGAGTTTTGCTGAAAGTAGGAAAAACACAAGTAAAATATCAGCAGAAAAAGAGCAAAAAAGGGTCCAAACATCTGAAAAGAGCGAACAAGTAGCTAAAATTAGAAAATGAAAAACAAGGTGTTAAAAGTAGACGAAACAAATTAAAATTAACAGACGAGGAAATGAAAGTGAAGAGTTTCAAATTAGCAAAAACAGGAAAAGAACAAAAAGAACAAAATCCTTGCAGTTTGTTTGGAAATACCTAAAAAGCTGAAACTAGCTTAAATCACAAAAAGCAGCTGAAATCATCCCAAAGAAACAGAAAGAGCATGTTTGCTAAATTAAGTAGTAAGAAGCAGAAGTTTTTACAAAAAYGTGTATTTAGCTGATTAAACTTGATTTAGCTAAAAAGAAATAGCTAAAACCACAAAAAACAACTTCAACAGAAAACACATTAAAGAAGCATAAAATGCCTAAATTAGTAGAAAGAAGCTAAAAGGAGCTGAAACAAGTTAAAACTGGGAAATGAGTGGAAATTTCAACTGGGAAAAAAAACAAAACAAGAAAAGTACTTGCTATTTGTTTTGAAATTGCTAAAATAGCTTAAATTAAGCTACAATAGCATAAAAAGTAGCTGAAAAAGCTGAAATGAGAAATAAATTTTAGTAATTGTTGTGAAACAGCAAAAACAAAAAGCTGAAATTGCTGTATTGTAGCTGAAAACACTAAATCTGGAACAAAGACGCAGAAACAGCATGTTTGCTGAATTAAACTGGAAAYAAGTAGCTAAAATTATCACAAAAAGATGAATTTAGCTGAAAACATTGACTGTAGCTTGAAAGAAACATTATCACCCTTTTGTTTCTCGCCTACTCACACCAGTTAGCTAATACTAGCTTAACTTGCAGAAAACTGTTGAARGAAGTAAAAAAAGTAGAATAGCTGGAAAGGAAAAGGCTAAAAGTAGAAAAAATAAGCTGAAAGAAGCTAAAAATGAGCACAAACAATAAAAAGCAGAATCAGAAGAAAAGGTGAACAGGAAAGCTTTAACYCTGAAGGATGTTGAGGATACAGTGGCTCCATTTATTTTTATTGAGAACAAAATGACAAAAAGCTAAATATCTCCAAAAGTAAAAACTGCTGAAACACAAAGAGCCATAACTGGAATGTCCTGAAGGAGCTGAAAGTTTTGATACATAATTACTGAAAGAGAAAAGTTGTGGAAGGTGCTGTAACGCGTAGAGATGAGCTGATCTGAGCAGTGTGGATGAATGTCCTGTTCCTCCACTCCCTCCGGCTCTGACGGACGGACGCCTCAGCAGGACAGGAGCTGTGATGTTCACACCGTGGTGCCAGCTGGCTTCTCCGTCAACCAGAAACACTGAACAACTCCTGAGCTGTCACTCCTTCACCGTCGTCTCCTCTTCCTCTCAGTTATCTGCTCGCCTCAGAGCAGCTACTCTTTAATTAACGCCTTAATCWGAGACGCCACTTCAAAGTCACGGCTCCGGGGTCCGCGCCTGCACGAGCTCCTGACAACAAAAACTAAAGAGAGACGAGCCTGGCACGCTGCTCCCGCCTCCTCCGCCTTCGCTCTCCGTCTCTTTCCCCTCATCCTCACATTTAACAGCTCGTATTTTCAGCTGGTCTGAGCCGAGCCAAAACATTTGACATGCCCAAGGTGAATCGAGCCGCTACAGCGCCTGAATCCTAATGACTGCGGCGTTTAGGAGGGTTTCTCTGAAAGCATCCGTGTCCCGGTTACTTAGCTCGAGGTGCAGGGGGGACGGGAGGGGACGGGAGTCTGATCAAGTGGAGCTGGAGGGTTTGACAGAACTGGCTGTCACTTAGATGGAGTGAACACCTGGTGTTACCTGCTAATGAGGTCTGCTGCCAAGAAACAGAAGAACAGTTTCAGATGGACGTCCAGTAAAATCTGTTCCTGTTGAACAGAGTCTGTAATCTGAGCTCATTCATTCTGCTCCATCACACGCAGATTTAATTTAATGTTTTTTTTATTTTTACAGTCCTTTTTGCCACTCTGCTCCAACACACCAAGAGGCCGTCAACTCCAGCTCCACTTTAACTCCAGGTGGAATAAAAATGGATGCGGTTGTTGCTGAACGAGCCTGAAATCTGTCAGTAAAAGCATCATCAGGGTTTTTCCTTCAATGCAGCTGGAAAACGACATAAATCCTGGATATGTTTTCAGTCTCCCAACGACCGCAGCTGAACTCAGGTTGCAGTTTTTATGCATGGTGTTCTTTGTAAGGGGTTGTAGTGATTCCTCTGTTACACGTGTCCTATTCAAGGCCCACGGGCCAAATGTGGCCCAACATGGTGTTTCATGTGGCCCGAAAGCGTTTCAAAGATGGGCTGTCCAAATTTACGTCACAGCGCTGCGCCGGAGGCTGTCCAAACTAAAACACTCCTTCAACGTGGCCGACAAATGCGTCCTCCTTTTGCACTGCTTTGAGGGAGGGGTCCGATGGATCCTTCTCGGCCCACCAAATCCCATAAAGCATTGCGGGTAAATGGACTGTACTTGTAAAGTACTTTTCTACCCAACCACAATACTCAAAGCTCTTCACTAGGGATGCGCGATATATCGGCATTAATATCAATATCAATTGATATTGGTCATTTTTTCGGTCCGATATGTAAAACTGGGCCGATATTAACGTCCGATATTGATTTCCCACTTCTTATCTTTATGTCTCTGTTTTGGGAGGAGAGATGGTTGGTTGAGCAGCATCTGTTTGATCATGATAGTGATACTGATGCTGCAGAGAGGAATAACTGAAGTAGAGCCATGTCAGAGGTCTGGTTGTTTATTTACATTATCAAAAAAAGACCCAAGTGTGTTTGTGTGTGTATGTATAATATAATTTGTGTGCTTGTGCAATACTAGTAAATATCGGTTATCAGCCACAACAGCGATAATTATTTCGGATATCGATATCGGCTGAAATTTTCATATCGGTGCATCCCTACTCTTCACACTTGTGTCCTCATTTACCCGTTCACACAGCACTCTGCTGGATCTCCTACAAAGTTAACACGAATAATCATCTATGAAGATTAATCAGTGCTAATCACATTCATACACTGATGGGACACACACCAGAGGCGTTGGGGGTGAAGTGTCTTGCCCAAAGACAACAACTGAGACAGCTGGACGGGGGATCGAACCACTGACCTACTGGTTCCAGGACGACTCCCCTAACCACTCTGRGGGCGGACRGGAGATTGTTTTRCCAGCTCGTAATGGTGGACGAWGTGAGAGAAAGAAGTACAGWTTTAAATAAAAATCTGATGGTATYAAAWTGAAAAGTTTCAGGCAGCTGCGATGCTTAGTTTTCTCTGACGTGTTTTTAATATTATTCTTGTCTGAAATCAAACGAGCTGCTATAGAGAAAGAGACGTACATACGGCGGGTCCATTAGTTCTTCAAATAATGTCTTTAGGCTAACTTTGTTGTTTTACAATATTTATAATACTAATATGTTGATATTTTGCAAATTTCGATCTATTTTTGCTTCTGTTTAGTGCCGTCACYGTTGCTAGTCGATGTCCTGGTTGACCAAGGACACGGTCCACCTAGACCAGGTAGGCCGGGTCCTTTGAAGTACCCAGCCCCTGAATTTGGACACAGACATGTATTAAAGACAGTACTGACCATAAACAAACAAAGAAAATCTCCCATAAAGCATTTACAACCAAATTGGTCGCACTCTAGAGCCCTGCTGGGTTTCTGTTAATTCTTGAAACCAGCAGGAATTCTGTCCATCAAACCTCAATATAAACTCTTTATTCCCTTTCAGGATGTGTTGGAGAGACAAAAACAAAGGTTTCCCTTGTTGTCTGCTGTATAACTCTGACGTCTCAACATTCATTTGCTCTGGATCGGTCTCCAAACCGTGGTCACGGGGGAAACAAATGAGAATTGTTGTGACCTATCCTTTTATTAATTAGCTTTTCTGTCTGCTTTGGCCTTTAGGCTGCAATTACAGCAGGCAGGGAGGGGTGAGGGGTGTCTGCTGGGACCAAAAAGGCCCAGAAGTGAGAGGAAGACACAAACGGCTGCTGGTTTCAGCACCTGCAGATTATTGTGAGAGGAAATAAATATTTACGTTGATGATGTTTCCTCGGTGGGAGGTGAGCGGAGGGGGTCGGCTCTAACGCGAGCTGCCGGGGCTCARGTGGAGAGGCTGCAGGGCTGTGAGTTATCGCCTTCCTCCTTTCTGCTGAGCCCCAAAGCCCTCAGACTATATATCTCCCCCTCTTAATGCCCTCAGACTCGCTCTATCACGCGAGCAGAGAGGAGCCACTTCATCGGCGCACGGCTTATTCTGAACCTCCTCATCAAAACTGCAGCATTTCTGTTATTACCTTTACCTGCATTCCTACAAAAAACAGCTTTTCATGTTCTCACAATCTTCTTATGCGTGTAGAACTAAGCTTACACAAGAGCTTAGTGARGGAAAAACAACTACAAAATAAAAATACATGTAAAAACTGCTTCAGAAAGGTAAATATTAAGGAAAACTTTCTGTCATTAAGATGGGAGGCTGGAAGCAGAGGAAGGCTGCAGTCAGCATTGATGTTCTCTCATTAAGGTTCTGGTTCTGTTCCAGTTTAGCTCTTCCACACCAATCAGGGAAAAGCATTTCTTTATGGACCTGGGTTCATGCAGGAGGGCCTTGTCATGAGGAAAGATGAATAGTTCCTCCCTAAACGGATGCTGTGAGGTTGGGTTTCTTTCTCCCTCCTCTCCTCCCATTCCCATCATGTACGTTCATATATGCAGCACTGTCAGTAAAATATTTACTACTGATGTGRCGTTAGACGTGATTCAGCTGCATTTATACTGCGACAGCTCAAATTCAAGTTTTAATCAAATCCATTAGAATCCAATTCAGTCTAAATATGATTCAAACCAATTCAACCAGAATTAAATCCAGTTCAGTGCATTCCAACATTAWGACAAACTCAGATTTAAAAGCCAATCTGTTTAAAAGTAATTTACCCAAAGGTGCAAATAAAAAAAAATGAATTAAAATGATCTGTCGGATAGTCGAACCTCGGATTCAGGAACAGCAGTGTGGTTTTCGTCCTGGGCGTGGAACACTGGACCAGCTCTACAC